TTCAATTTTAAAGCACATGCTAATATAATAGCCAGGAAGGTTAACCGAATGGCACAGTGATTCCTCACTAGTATCCAAGTAGAACCTCTCTCTGGATCACAGAGGAACGTGCCAGAAATAATTTCCTGAGAAAGGTATAGAAAGAAAAAGCTCTCTTCCTCCCTCATCTTTCTTCCTTCCTTCCTTCCTTCCTTCCTTCCTTCCTTCCTTCCTTCCTTCCTTCCTTCCTTCCTTCCTTCCTTCCTTCCTTCCTTCCTTCCTTCCTTCCTTCCTTCCTTCCTTCCTTCCTTCCTTCCTTCCTTCCTTCCTTCCTTCCTTCCTTCCTTCCTTCCTTCCTTCCTTCCTTCCTTCCTTCCTTCCTTCCTTCCTTCCTTCCTTCCTTCCTTCCTTCCTTCCTTCCTTCCTTCCTTCCTTCCTTACACCTCCCACTGGGGATGTGCCCGCAACCAAGGTACATGCCCTTGACCTGAATCGAACCTGGGACCTTTCAGTCCACAGGCTGACGCTCTATCCACTGAGCCAAACCAGTTAGGGCTACATAAATTTTTTATAACAAAATCTTTCAAATTTTTTTTCAAGGCAATGAATATAACAATGAAATCAAAACCCACCAAATATTGGGATCCCCAAAAGAGTAAACCAATATCTCTCAAGAAAGTTTAGGAAAAAAAAAAGCTAAATAAAATATTGAAATGGAATCCAGAGCATATCAGAAGAAATACATCCTTTCTCCAAGTGTAGAATTTTTTTAGTATCGCATTGATGTTTCTCTCTCTGTCTTTCCCTCTCTCCTCCACTCTCTCTAAAAAAAATCAATGGAAAAATATCCTCGGATGAGAATTAAAACAAATATATGCCATAAGTCAAACCATCATAAATTGGGGACCATCTGTATTGTGAAATAATCACCACAATAAGTCTAGTTAGCATTCATAGTTGTAATTTTTTTTTCTTTTGGTAACTTTTAAATCTACTCTCTTGGCAACTTTCAAATATACAATACAGTATTATTAACCTTTTAATACATGAACTCATTTTATCCTCACAACCATTTGATGAGACACATAGTATTAATCCTCATTTTGCAGAAGCTAAATAACTTGCCCAAGTTTATACAGCTAAGGAATGGCAAAGGTAGAACTCAAACCCAAAGCTCTTTTATTCCAATGCTTATGCTTTTAACCACTACAATTAGATATGACCCCTCACACACATATGGAGAGAGAAGAAAAAAGACAGAGACAGGTATACAGAGAAGAAGAAAGCCATGTAAGCTGAGACAGATTGTGATTTTTAATCCTCTGGAGACTTTAATTTCATTTTACTGATGAATCTCAGAGAGAAGGGTGGGCATGGGGGGAGGGCAGGAAGAGATTAAACATAACCCATGGACAATGATAATAGTGAGGTGAAGGCTTGGGGGGGGTCAATGGGGAGGAAAAGGGGGACATCTGTAATACTTTCAAAAATAAAGATAAATTTAAAAAATAGTAATTAATAAGAAATAGATGGAGAGCAAAATTCTAGCATAATTTAATGCTTATTTTACTAAAACTTGAAAATGATGAAAAAAATTTCTGAGCCTAAAGTGTATCTTTTCATTAAGGCTGGCTTAAAAAAAAGTTGTAGTTTCTCTGCATTTAGGAATTATGTTCTTAAACCCTTTCAAAACTAGTAGTACTAAGATAAATAATACTAAAACGGGACTAATACTGCATAGGAATTGTTTGATTAGAACTAAGAAGGAAGCCGAAAAACTATTTTTAAGGTATATATTAAAGGTTGTAAGAGCTAATAAGATATTACTTGATCAAGGTATGGGAGAGGATAAGATTCGAAAGAGATGAACCTAGATTTTGTGGCTGCAATTGTTCTCAGATGTATGACCTGAAACACAGTCTTTTTTTTTTTTTTTTTAGCAGAGAATGAGGAAAAAATCATAATAAATTAATGTCTTAAAAAGCTGATGTCTATAACACACATCCTAAAATCCAGAAAATTTATAATATTTTCATTAACTTCTTGACAAAGTGCATTTTCCCTCTACATTTTCTCAATCACCTCTTCATTTGGCAACCACTTTGTGAAACCATTTTCTGTGAGCTTTCTTCTAGCACAGTAGATCAAAATTTGGTTTTTAACACTGAGCATTAAAAAACGCAATGAAAGGATTTGCTGTTTGTAGAATTGATGCAAGTTTGGGCTCTTCAAAAGGGGAATTCCAATATATATATTTTTTTAAACACAGTCTTATGGAAGATAAAAATCTAGTTCAGTCCTTACCAAGGGTGGGAACTTGGTACACCATGCTTTGGGTGGTGACTCTGAAGGCTGAACCCCAGGGGATAAAGGTGAGCTAGGAGAACTTTGGAGAGCCTTGGCCAGTGTGGCTCAGTTGGCTGAGCATCCTCCCATGCACCAAAAGGTCACAGGTTACATTTCTATCAGGTGAAGGTGCACACCCTGGTTGTGGGCTTTATCCCTAGTCAAGGTGAGTGCAGGAGGCAACCAATCGATGTTTCCCTCCCCCTCTCTCTCCCTCCTTTCCTTCCTTCCTCTCTCTAAAATCAATAAAAATATATTTAAAAAAAAGAAAAGAAACTCAGAAAGATGAGCTCATAGCCTCTTTTCCCCTTGAGGATTTTGCCAATACTGGGCATGAGCGGAGGTCAGAGCTGCTGCTGGGGATAAGAAACCAGTGAGCATTTTAAAAATAGGAAACTAAGGGAGCCTCAAGCATACAGCCAGTTATCCTGTTGGGATATTTGCCAAATCCTGAGGCTTTACAGAATGGGAGGCTAAAAAATCTCATTGGAAAGCCTTTGAAAAGCAGAGCAGACATTTTGGCAGTCTCACAAGATACAGATTCAAGTTATGAACCTGCCAGAGGGAGAAACCCCAATGAATTCCCAGGCTCTCAGTTAAAATCCTTAGAGGGCTATGCTCTGGGAATAGGGATGAGCCAAAAATAGCTTGAGCAGAGGGTTGCACTAGAGGTGCAACCAAGCCTCCAGTCCGAACAGTCCATGATAGGGTTAAGATGATCAGCTACTAGAGGGAAAGGAACTTTTATCTGGAGGCATTATGTAAAAAATTACAGGGCATGCTAAAAGACAAAATGATAGGACCAAAAACAAGAGGTAAGCATGGACAATAGAAACAGGTCCACAGAATATCCAGGCCCTGGAGTCATCCAAAAAGGATTTTAAAATAACTATGTTCACGTCCAAGAAAAAAGGTAGAGAAAATAAATAAAACAACAGAGAATTGAAATGTATTTAAGAGAATTAGGAAAACAATATGGCAGTTCCTCAAAAAGTTAAATATAGAACTACCGTATGAGTCAGCAATTCCACTTCTAGGTATATACCCAAAAGAATTAAAAATAGGGATTCAAAAGCTATTTGCACACCATTATTTACAATAGCCTAAAGTTGGAAACCACTCTACAGTTGACCCTTGAACAACACAAATTTAAACTATACAGGTCCACTTATATGTGGTTTTTAAAAAGCTTACACTTAAAAAAATTCTCCTCTGCTGTTATACTTCTTATATTAGTAATTCCTCCCTTGCCTAGTTAAGAAGCTGTAATACTCCTAAGGAAAAACTTTTTTTTTTTTTAAATATATTTTATTGATTTTTTACAGAGAGGAAGGGAGAGAGATAGAGAGTTAGAAACATCGATGAGAGAGAACCATCGATCAGCTGCCTCCTGCACATCTCCTACGGGGGATGTGCCCGCAACCCAGGTATATGCCCTTGACCGGAATCGAACCTGGGACCTTTCAGTCCGCAGGCCGACGCTCTATCCACTGAGCCAAACCGGTTTCGGCATGAGGAAAAACTTTTTAAAAATCCTGGCTGGATTTAAGAATACCTAGAGCTTAATTGATTTTTATTTTCTTAGAATTTTGGGAAGCTCAGATCTCCCTGTCTTATGTTCCTATAACACTTGCTATTGTAATATTTATCTTACCCTACTGTAGTTCCTCATTTTCTTCCCTGCTATAGGTTTGTAAGGTCAGGATGTCTTGTCCCCTGCTACATGCACAACCCTAGCACCACTGGCTTGGGTTAAGATAGCCACTCAATAATTATAGAATCTTTAATAAGTTATAATAATTAGAATCCAAACAAGCATTACTACCAAAAATATAGTTATCAGATTAAATGTTTTAACATTATTTACATCAGAATATATTAGCAGAAAACAAGGAGTTAAATTTACTTAGCCTCAAACATTTAAAATATAAGTGCCATGGAAGCAATGATTACTACTAGAAATCTTAGACTGACAGAGCAATCTTCCAGAGGTATAGCCAAATGTTAGAAAAGAAATTAAATAATAAATGAATGTTTATGCTTTTTAGATAAATTTCTGGTATTCGAGAATAACTACATTTATTCAAAAAATGTGTTCTGGAAAGGTTATATAACACTTTCAAACTGTAAACAAAAAAACTATCTGATTAGAATAAATCCAACTTCAAGTATATCTACAAATATATATATACATACACATACATATCTTTTAAATATATTTTTATTGATTTCAGAAAGGAAGGGAGAGGGAGATAGAAACATCAATGATGAGAGAGAATCATTGATCAGCTGCCTCCTGGGGATCGAGCCCGCAACCCGGGCGTGTGTCCTTGACCGGCATAGAACCCGGGACCCTTCAGTCTGCAGGCTGACGCTCTATCCACTGAGCCAAACCAGCTAGGGCAAACTTCAAGTATATTTGAAAAATAAAAATCCCTCTTTGTAATGATGATGCTCTCACACTAGTCTGTATTATATATTTAGACTTCTGAATATTAGATTTTCCTAAGTGGGGAATAGTCCTACTAACTTAGTCATATCAAAATGCTAAGAAGTTCAGCACAACTCTAAGGTCAAATTAACTTTTACTTTTTGAAAATATTATATATCTAAGTAGTAAATATAATGTTATTAATCTAGGTTTTTCCATATACCAGGAAATAAAAAATACTTACTATTATTTTCTTACAGTCCTTTCCTCTGCATAGTTCTGTATAGGTGGAGTACTGCACATATATAATCCAGCTTCCAACAAAAACTGCCAACCAGGAAAAGAAAAGGTATTTCATCCGCACATATGAGAAACGAGCCTGTGAATAAAAGAGCACATAACAATTATTCATTCAGCACCGAGTCAGCACTCACTGTCTAGAACATGATTTCCCCCCCTTTCTTGAAAGAACTCAATATATATTCTAGGCTTTCATATGGCAATTCTCCTAGAACAAAGTGTACTTTCACTGAGTTCAAATAGTACTGGTCTTCGAAAGAAAGCTCCTTGGTCCTGCCAACAAAAAGGGAAACAAAATACCCTTTAAAATGTATAACCTTTCAAATACCACCAACATTGAAAGCTACTTATTAAGCACAAGCACGTGCCCCATGCTACCCTGGGCACCCTGTAAGGTCAGGTAGAGAGAGACACGATTCCTATCTACTACAAATTTACTGAAGACTGTTTCAAATAAGAATCTTAAAGATCTTTATGGCTAATCAAGATAAAAATAATTGTGTTTTTTAAACATAAGAACAAGAAATTTGGCTAGTTGTCTAATCCCTCACAGTGGTGTATAACCAGAATAAGAAAATAAACTCCTATTTCCCTATTGTATTCACTAAGGCCTTATGTTCCTTCTTTTTAAACAGCCAAATGCTTCCCCTCATAGATATTCTGGAAAGTTGAGAATGCTACAACTGTTAAAGGAGAAATGACTGGAGAAGAAAGGTTAAGACATATAAAGGATACCTTACTCCTTTACAAGGTAATTTGTAAAGGTGCACAGTAGGATCCTCTTTGCATTATTTTGCTTGAGTGCTTTGGTATCTAATTGCAATTTGGGCCAGTGGCACCTTTTCTCCATCAACCTGTTAACAAAAGATTGGTGCCACCAATCTAATGTCAATAGGTGGCCTCATCTGGGGTGTCGTAAAAAGAGAAACTTTATTCAGGTGAACAGTGTTTACAAAAAAAAGGAAACACAGCAACCAGTGGAAATTGGAAAGTACACGCTCTCCTCTCCACAAAGGGGAGGCTGGCTTATATAGACAATGTGCTTGCCCTGGTTCTAGATTGGTCCATTTTTATGCAAATAAGAAATCTAGAGAAACCAAGATGGCGGCATAGGTAAATACCGGAGTTTGCTGCCTCGCACAACCACTTCAAAAATACAACTAAAAGACGGAACGGACATCACCCAGAATCACAGGAAGGCTGGCTGAGTGGAAATTCTACAACTAGAAGGAAAGAGAAAAGCATACCGAGACTCAGAGGAGGTGCGGTGCGGAAGTAAAATACTAAGGTACAGAGGCGCACGCGGAGCAGGCTGGCGGCTGAGGGCGCGGTTGTCTTTTTCAATCGGGAGGGAGTCTCAGGCTCTGAGCTCCAGTTCTGGGCGAGTCTCTGGGGACCTAGACTCATACGGGAGAAGCAGGACTGTCTGGCATCGGTCGGAACTCGAGGGCAGCTTTCTCTCGGAGGTACTTGCAGCAATTGCTGGGACACTGAGAAGCGGGGCCTCTGAAGGCAGGACTGAGAGCAGCCATAACTGCTCGCTCCGCCCGCCCTGTTGATCTCTTGGGACCCGCCCCGCCCCGCCCAAGCCTTGCATGGAGGCGTTTGCTGGATAGCCTCAGGCAGAGGCTAGATTATCACCTCTCTAGAGCTCCAGGACAGAAGTTCTCCCACTGCAGACAGAGCTGATTCTCACAGCCAATTGGCCTGGAGGCCAATCCCTCTCAGTGTTACTTACAACAATCAAGGCTTAACTACAACAAGACTGTGCA